AAAATTAGAAAAAACTAATGAAGCCCTTCACAACCCTTTAACGTATGACCCTGTCACCCTCGCGTACCACAAATCTGTAGCACGCAAAAAAAGATGGTCTACAATTCGGTTGTCGTCATCTTAAAAAGAAAAAGCGTGCCAAAGTAAAAATAAATAGAATAAAAAAACAAAAAGATCCGAATTCATTTGAAAAAGTTTTTCCTACACTTTATAAAAATAATTTTAAAAGAATTTTATCTAATAAAAAAATGTACTATTACAGCATTCTCCTCATCATGGCTACGATTATCGCAGCCCAAGAAATTAGAATCACGAGTCTGGAATCCAACCCTGGAATATTACCCACCCTATAAATTAGGATATGCTAAATTACAATCCACATACCATTCTTTTATCTATTATTTTGATTTAGACCCTATCGAAACCGAACTTGTTAAAATAAATAATCAATTCGAAAATATAATTTTAACAATTGAAAATAAAAATGCGGTATTCACATCCGAACTTAAAAATAACATAAATTCAATCTCCTTTGAAATAAAACAATGCAAAGAAAAATTAAATTACCTTCATTCTAATAAGAGACTTAAAAGAGGAATCTTAAACGGTCTAGGTACAATATTTAAAAGTATTTCGGGAAACCTAGACGCCGAAGACGGCAAAAGATACGACGACGATATTGTCTTACTAAATTCAAATCAAAAAGATATAGCAAATACACTAAATAAACAGATATCCCTAACTACTAAAATAATCGATGATTACAACAAAAGCAAAACGAAATACAAATGGCTCAAAAAATTAATGATCTTAATAACGAACTAGAAAAATTCGTAAACGATTTTTCGGGATATTTTTTAGCAATAAACACCTTAGACCAGGTACATGCAGTTCTCAAAATTTTAAATGAAATCTTAAATAATATTTGCGAGATTAAAAACAGTTCACTATAGCATATTAAAAATAGAAGATTTAGAATTTATCATAAATTTGCTATTAAAGTCATATTCAGAAAGTAGCTTACTGTTCGGTGCCGATCCACAAAATTTTTATAAATATTATGAAGTTATTACAGTAGACTCTTATTATTCTAACAATCGGATAGTATTTGTGATTCACTTTCCTATAACCTATCCAGAAATATATTCTTACTTTCAGCTCTATTCAATACCTACCCAAAATAGCTCTATCCTTATCCCCTCCAAATCTTTTCTGGCAATACAAGGAAATAACTATGAGTACGAGGACGAAGAATGCAAAAATCTGAACTCATTATATTTTTGCACAAACATGAAATCTATTGCCAAAGCTAATGCAGATGATTGTATCCACCAAATATTACAATTGAATAATCAAGACTCTCCTGCATGTGAACTTACTCCAATCCAAATCAGTTCCGAGGTAATCGAACCAATCAATTCTGCCCTCTATATTGCAGTATTTCCTCGAGAAACCAAGATCCAAATCAACTGTGCAAAGTCAGATCTCGCAGTTTTAAAAGGTACCTATTTTATGGAAGTACCAAAGGGTTGCAGTTTCCAAACCCCGAAGAACAGATACTCAAATAACATCGACGTTATTCATGGACAGCCTTTACTTCTACCCGAAATTAAGATAAATAAAGTCAGTCAAAATCATTTCAGAAAAATCGATATTAATGAAATACCCCTCGACAAGATCCACCTATTGCAGAAGGAACAAAATCGAATTAGTCAAATAAGTCTTCAACCCCCTTCAAACAATACCCATCTGTGGTATACGCCACTGTGGACATTGGGTGTTGTTGCCCTCATCATCATGTTTTTCAAGATTATGCAATCGACGTCCAGAAATCAAAAATTGATAATACCTGCCACCCAACAAGCCACTTTCAATATCAATACCGAAGAAGACGAATAACGACCCACACCCTGTATGGATCTCTCTGGGAAGGGAGGAATTATATCACAGAAACTGCCGAAGTGCCCAGAAATTCTAAGAATCCCACCAGCCGGCAGCTCAAGTTTCTTTTATCAGCATACATGTGTTAACAATGATTATTTTTTACATTTTTCAGTCTGATGTTAGCTTTCAATTAATAAAGACATAATTATAACTCTGTTTAAATAAAAAATATTTTTTTTAAAAAACGATTTTTCAAATCGTGTTATATTTTTTGCGGTATTTAGGTAGCAATTTATTTTTTGGAGGAAATTTTGAGAATTTGCTACTTTATTATTTATCGTCCTGAAATATTAAACCTAATTCACTGATAATACAGCGGAGATAAAGCGGCTTCCGGGCAGCTTATATACAAAGGTTGCTTCTATCTTTCTTCTCTCATCTTTTCTTTTCACTTTCTAAGTACTTTTTATTAATTAATTTAGGCATAGTTCTTGTTCAAGGAAGCTTCGCAACTAAATGCCGGTTAATTAATAAAAAAGGTACCCTACACTATCTCTACTGTCCTATTTCCTTTCAAGTTTTTTCATTATTTTATTATTTGGGGGGTTTTATATATAATCCACAGGGTTATATGGCGTATGGGATTTAAGTTAATATCATTTAAATTTTTGGCAACCATAGGTTGTGATTTTCTTTTTGCAATTATTGTTTAATGATTTTGAGTGACAAATTAAATCTCAAACATTTATAAGTTGAGGTATTTTTCGAGTAATCCATGTTGAATGGATTCACAGACATTCAAATTTAATTAATTCCTTTTCAAATTTGTGATACCACTTCAGGGTTTTAAAGTAATCAGGTGTTTGATTATTAAGGGGTAATTTACCTTAAATAAAGTGGGTTTATTTTTGTTAATGAATAGTAGCTATTTCTAAGTAATTTTCCAAGTTTGGTATGAACCTTACCAACTAAGCTTAACTTTAGCATCAGCGCTATCAAACTTTTAACTTTTAGTTAATTTTCTTAATAAATTAACCTTCTGCTAATTTATTTGGTTTTAATATTGCTTTTTCTACACAGGTGGATATAATTATTGCAGACTAAAAGGTCTAAATACTTAGTCAAGGGTATATTTTTGGGGAATAATAGCATTCCTTCTTTATTATCAATCTTTTGGGCAATTTACGTAACCTAAGGGGTAGTAAAAGACGTCTTTTAACCACCATTTTTCTGTGTTGCCAATATAAGAGACTCACACACACATATTTTTTATTTTAATGCACTGGAGTATTACCGATGACAATTTAAACAAACAGACCAGTAAAAGTTTTGAACGTAGTCAATCCAAGTGGAGGTTTAGTTCCTCAGCCTCAGAACGTCGGTGAATCCTCAACGTAGAGCGTGGAGAGACCTTATAGTGATAAGGCTCCTTACTTTATAAAAACAGAACTGAATACCACTTCGTTTGAACTCCTGAACAGACTAGATCACCTCCAGAACCAGCAGGATCATTCCTCAGCTTAGTCATCCGGTAACAAATTGAAACTGAGCCGAGCTTACTTGTATTTAGTGTTGTACAGGTTACTTAAATTGCATATATAATTTTAACTTACCACCTTTTATTTGTTTACTACATTTTCAAACTTAATTTTATATCTTAGGAACCTTCAGTTCAAACTAATGTTAGGAAACTCCCGTTCAAGTTTAAATATTTTTTCTGCCAGAACTCTCAGTTCTGCCGTTTGTCAATTGTTTACAATTTTCGATTTAAAATTAGAGTGCTCTTTGATGTTAAGTCAAAATAAGGTGAAAAAGGAAATATTTTAAATCAAAAAAATTACAGTGTGTTTGGGACATAAAAAGGTAAGACTTCACCAAATTTAGTGAAAAAAAAAAAAATATTTTTTTCGTAAAAAATAAAAATAAAAAACCAAAACTTGGTAATTTGAATAAATTTTCAAGTTATGTGAAAAAAGTGTAAATACAAAAGTTGTATATCTTTTTATTACCTACAACTTTGCCATTTACCTTTTTTCCTTAGGACTTTTAGTTTTGCCGGAAATCGAGATAAACCATTTTTTACCCTTAAAAACTCACCCCTTCCACTTCCCGATCTCAGATCGCCCGTAAATTATTTTTCCTTTTATTTTTGTTATATTCTTTTCCTTTTCCAATGGGTTTCATCCTACTATAATTTTTTTGGTTTCAAAGATTATTATCGACCCTGGTCTATTGCTGATAGGTGTATCTTATGACACCAAAAACGTTTGCCGAATTTAGTAAAATTATATTGAGTAATTAAAAAAATATAGGCATTAATACTTTATGAATTTTCAAACTGTAATGTCCTGTATTTCAAGTAACACGTTTTCGGCTTATTTTTAATCAGTTTTTCTATTTCCCATTCTTAATAACACACCTGTATATGAAGAGATCACTGAGGGAAAGGGGAAAAAGTAGTTAGCTTGAGTTGGCGACAAATTACTGAACACCACAATATTTGGTGTTTAGATACAATGTGGTACAAGTGGAATAAAGTAGCGGGCTAAAATTCTTTGAATTTCTTTGACTTTCTTTGAATTTCTTTGAATTTCTTTGAATTTCTTTGAGTTATTACTTTGAATTTCTTTGAATATATTTAATTTTTTTTTTTAATTTCTTTGAATATATTTAAATTATTTTGAATTTCTTTGAATTTCGTTGAATTTCTATGAATTTATTTAAAAAAATTTAGTTGTAACATAAAGTATGTAAATTAGGCTTTATCCAAGTAATATGAATTTCAAAACATTTTGCGTTTTCTTTGACATGAGTTTTTTTCTTCACTCCCGTACTTAACGTGTTAACTGAATTTAATGGAATTTAGTTTAAATTATTTTAATTTGTATTTATTTTATTTTTATTTATTTACTTTTTTATTATTTATAGTTATTTGTTTTAATATGGGGACATCGAGATATGCCAAGGTGTTGGGACATTGAAATACGTCGTTTGTCAAGGTGTGGGAACATAAAAATGTGTCGTTTTTTTATCAATTCACTCCTCACATTATATTTCTCATTCCAGGGCGAGTCATAAGAAGTTTCGCTCCAAAAAAATACATAAATACTACTTACTTCTTAAAAAATATTTATTAATGATGTTTCCTTAGTTAATCACAACTTCACTCATTAAGGATTTGCAATATCCAATTTCCTTGCATACCACATCCTTATTTGTATTTTCGATGAGCAATTTTATCATTAAGTCTCCATAGGTTTCCACAATATTAGTGCACTAAAAGATAATCATATTATTATGTGTACAAATCAAGTAACAAGTAACTATTTATCTTATCTTTATTCCTACTGGCAAAATTTGGTGGCAAAGAAAATTCCAATGAGTCATACCGCATTAAAAAACAGAATATATATTATATTTGTAAAATAACTAACTTTTTAAAAAATTATGTAAATCTTCACAAAGACCGTCTGATCATATCTATAAAGAAAGTAATACTCACTTTAGCTCTATATTGTGCAGGCAAACCTCTGCAAGTTTTTTCAATGACATGTTCAACTTTATGATCTATTCTTGGATTAGCCAAAATTTTTGCCATAACTTCGACTGCCATTTCGCAAATGGGACATTCCAAGATTTCAACTAAAAATAAAATCGTAACATGTATACATAGAAGAAATAGAGGAAAATTGTAAAAATAGGAAAATTAGAAAGAAAACGGTTAGTGATAAGTTTTCAAAATGTTCTTACCTCGAATATTTTCGAAACCGTTTCCACAGAATTTCATCATTGTACAAATGTCTGAAGGATCTAGAGTTGCGATCAATAACTGAATGATGGCCTGCGCATTTTGATCTATAAAGTCGTTACATTGTTTTTTGATTGATCCAGGCATAATTTTGCAAATATCTTTAACAATGTTCTCTATCTCATCCTAAAAAACAAAAACATTTTAGTAAATAATCACCATATCATGTTTTTTCCTATATTAAAAAATAAAATTAATAAAAATATTTAAGTAATGTGAATTAATAGCTATGCTGTACTTGAACTTACATCGGTATGTTTATTTTTCAGTTGATCTTCAATTTCTTTCATAATAAATTCGCACAAAACGCATTGTGGTTTTTCTTTAACACTTTTGTCGTGTTTGTTGAATACTATTTCTCCATTAATTGTATTGTCAGGTATTACATTGGTTTCTGAAAATATTCACTATTAGTAAAAAACTAGATAACTACAATCTAATTATTTTTATTTGATGTCAATCTACTCAATTCTAGATTTGACTATACCAAAAGCAATAATTGTTTTTTTTTTTTTTTTTTTATTTTGTATATTGTTATTTAATGAATAACAATTTTTTAAATAATTTGCACAGGGTGTTATTGAAATATATATACGAGGATATATCAGTATATAACGAGACTGGTGCTATAACTTCTTTCAGAGGTAACATTTTATAACCCAAAAAATGAGACATGAAAGCCTTATATTTAATGTACTACCCCGCAAGTAGGCTTTGAATTAACTTTTGACATTTGTTACAAATTAATTATTGAATTGTCAGTGTTTTGCGTACCCATCGAAAAATGAAAGTGGAGCAAAGATACGCGATAAAATTTTGTGTTCGATTGGGTAAAACACCAAACTTTTGAAATGATTAAAGGTGCATATCTAGATAATAGTTTATCACGATGTAGAGTATTTGAGTGGCATAAAAAGTTTAAAGACGGTTGTGAATCAGTTGAAGATGAACCTCGTCCCGGTCGACCACAAACTGCGAGAAATGACACAAAAATTGCAGAAATTAACGACTTGATACAAAATGATTGCCGGATTGGTATAAAACGAATTTCTGACAATTTTAATTTGTCTTACGGTACCACTCAAACAAAAGTGATGACCGATGAACAAAAAGCGAATCGAGTGACAATTTGTCAGCAGTGGAAAAGGCAATTGCAACGTAACCCACAGTTTTTAAATAATGTGGTTACATGTGACGAAAGTTGGTTTTATCATTACGATCCTGAATTGAAGTCTCAAAGTATGCAATGGAAGCATAAAGGCAGCCCAAGACAGCAGAGGGCCAAAACTGCTAAAAGCGCTGTTAAAGTGATGCACCTGATTTTTTTTGATAAATTTGGCGTTATTTACGATCACATTGTACCTAGAGGACATACAGTAACAGGGGAGTACTATTCTAATGTACTTCGAGGACCCTTAAAGGCAAAATTAAAGAAAAAATGCCACTTTATCAGGACTTTGGCTGGACGCTGCATCACGACAATGCTCCGGCTCATAGATCAATGATTTGTCAACGAACAATTGAAGAATTAGGGGTTGAAATTATGGTTCATCCCCCCTACTCTCCTGACCTTGCTCCATGTGACTTCCATTTGTTTCCTGAAGTCAAAAAAGAATTGAGAGGTAGAAGATTTGAGTCGGATTTAGAGCTCAACAACGCTCTGATGGGTATACTAAATAGACTATCAAAAAATGGTTTCTCAGAAGTTTATGATAAGTGGATAAAGCGATGGAATAAGTGTATTCAACAGAATGGAGAGTACTTCGAAGGATAGTTGTTGAATTTTTTTAAATAAATGTTTCGTTGTTATACTATAGCACCAGTCTCGTTATTTTCTGATACATCCTCGTACATATTGCAAACAACAAAAATGTAAAATGCCAATTTGCCCTTTTACCAACCATTATTTTACACTGGTTTGTTAAACCAACCTAAATATTAGCGCTGTTGACGGTTCGTTAAATTGTTTATCATCATCCTACTAATATAAATGCGAAAGTTTAGATGCATGGATGGATGTTTGTTGCTCAATCACGCAAGAACGGCTTAACGGATCTAAATGAAATTTGGCACAAAGATAGATTATAGTCTAGAATAGCACACAGGAAAAATATACGGTTCCCGTGAGATAGATTTGTTTTTGTTTTTCACAGACATGATTTTTGCATAGTGGTAGTGAACCATGAAAATTTGAAATACAGCTACTGCATTTTCATATTTTAAGGGTGGGAAACAGGGATTAAAAGTTTGTATAAAAGTATCGATTTTTTAAAAATAGGAACTTAAAAATTGGAATTATAGCTACTCATCACAAATAAATAATGGTGTGTCTTAGAGATTTTGGATTTTCATATTAAGGGGAAAAGTAGGTAAATGGGAGAAAGAAAAAAAAAAGGGAGAAAAGGGAGAACGAGGAGAAAGGTGGTATAGGGGTATTGTTTTTTTTTTAAGGTAGGAAATTGAAAATTGGAATTGTAGTTACTTATTATTAGTAAATAATGACGTATTTTAAGGTTTTTATATTCTCACTTTGTAAGGAGGGGGAAATGGGGAGTACCGCAAAACTAAATAATTAATATTAAATAAAAATAAATAAAAATCATATAATTATATAAATGCGAACGTTTGGATGGATGGATGTTTGTTACTCAATCACGCAAAAACGGCCGAACGGATCTGGATGAAATTTGGCACAAATATAGATTATAGTCTGGAATAGCACATATGCTACTTTTTATACCGAAAAAAATGTAAGGTTCCCGTAGGATAGATTTGTTTTTATTTTTCGCAGAGCAAGTGATCGGACGTAATTTTTTGCATAGTGGTAGTGAAACATGAAAATTTGAAATTTAATCTGCTGGACAGGAACAAAATAAACATATGTCCAATGTATAGCAATAAATTATGAAAAGTAAAAATATGTAGAGATGACAACAATCACCTGTATAATTGAACATGCCGAATTTAGCGCGCCTGTCGAGCATTGGACGAGTCTGGCAAGACTTTGGGGGGTGTTTCACATTAGCCAGACTATCTTTGCAGCTGTAATTATAATATAAACTATCTATCATCTGACAAATTTTTAGGACTGCGAAAATAAGGTCAATGGCTTTGATAATTTTTTTTCAATTTTTCACCTGCCAGACATATTACCCATACTCACAGACTATTTTTTTTTAACTTCACTGTGTATCTCTCACTAATAGAGTGATTTATTTTTATTACTGGAAAAAAGTGCAGTATATTTGTACTTTCAAACGCATTTCCCGCCTCAACCTATCGGAAACCCCTTCTACATATATATGAATTTTGCTTAGAATTAACAAACCGAATAATTCAATCGGTGTTTCCTGACTGGAAAAATAAGTACCAAAAAACCTCACTGCCTCCTGGACTATAACAATATTGTCAACTGCAGACCACGACAAGAGAGACAAAAGTTTTTAGGTAATCAATCAAATATATTTCAGTATCTCCGAAGAATTCCAATGGTAGTAAAACATATACTAATATACTTATAATTATGTGAAGTATTGAGCAATCCATATTAATTCACAAAGATGGCTGTGTTAGATTCAGAGTAGTTCTTTTGTTTCGTTTTGTGAGGTTAGAGTTTAAAGTATTAGGCATTCCAAACAAATGAATTGCCAGTGGGAAGGTTTGGTATATCTAAGGGTTGCGGCATACAATGTATTGTATCTACAATACGTAAAATCATGAATAGTGAATTACATTTAAATATTTTATGTCGAACTCAATAAAAATTTTATTTAAAAAACAGATTGCAAATTTTTTCATAAATTGGCAAGCTTGGCGACTAATATTTCGAATAAAAATAGGGTCCAAGATCCAAGGCTATGTCATTACCCCCTTAGATATGCGAAACCTTCCCACTGGGAACTATTGTTTGACAGGTCATTGGAATGCACAATTCTGTTAATTTTTTTGTGAAATATGTTGTATATAAAGTTGTAAAAGTACTAACATTTTTGACACTCCTCCCTATAACGAAAAGTAATGTATTTGGTACTTCCCAATTAGAATATCGATAATAAACTTGCAGACAAACTATCACATAAATATTCGAGATCAAAGACCTATTCCAATAGTGGCGTTCAACATAAATTTTGAAAATGTAATTATTCCTTCAACTATTGGTAATTTAACAAAATACAAGAGCCTAAATATTCATCTGTTTAAATATATACATGTATTTCAATAACACCTATATTATATTTTTGAATCACTTACCAATATTTCCTCCGACATGCCTGACAACGTAAGGAGGTAGACGACTGGCGGGTGTGGAATCATTGCAAAGCTTAAGAGCAACACATACTTCGTCAGGTTTAAAGTCATTGAGCAACATTTCTACCAACTGTTTCGTATACGTTTGGACGAAATCTTCGCATTCATTATCCAGTGTTGCCGGCAATGATTTGCAAACTTTTCTTAGGGCATCTTCAATCTGTCCCTAAACATCAAAAATGATAAAAAATTATATTTTGTTTTCGTTTAATATTCTATGTTGCTTATATTTGTTAAGTATGTAAATTTGGTGCCGATGGCAACCCTGTTACACGTGCCACTGAGGCTAACAAGTCAGTTGAAATGCACCAAATCAGACATATTATGTTGTTCTCATGTAAAAAAATCCAAAAAATTACACAACGATCTTTTATTGCCTGTCAGAAAACTTCTAAAAGTTTTTTCTTGAAAGACATTTCAAAAACGGATGGTAAAAATAATAAAGAAGTTGAAAATTTTAGTCTAGAAAGAAGAATTAGTGTGGAATGTCTAAGTAAAAGTTGTTAGTTGACATAAAATACAATATTATCCTCTGAAACATTCAATGAAGAAGAAGTATGGTATAAGGTCGTCAAATATTTGTTAAAATAAAAAGTTTACCTCTGTCTTGTTGTTCTTAATCATATCTTCCAATTTTGTAACGGCTACAAGACATAGTGGACATTTAGAATCGCTCTTAGCTTCCATGAACACTTCAACATCACGATTATCTAAAGATGGACAAGCCCTAATCAGAGGACATACTGTGGCTGGGTCAATTTCTTCAGCAAAAATGGCCACCAAAGCAGGTTCGTAATTATCGACGAAGTCTAAACAAGTAGCGTTGACGGCATTGGGAAGTTTGTCGCAGGCCTTTTCGATTACTTCTTTTATTTTTTCCTAAAAATACGATTATACCGCAATAAGAAATTGTTCCTTGACGTTTGTAAGCAATTTAAATTAGGTGATTTTTGGTAAAATTAATTTAGAAATACTTTACCTCTGTTGTGGGATTTGTAATGGCGTTCTGCATATAATGCAGGAAATATTCACAAAATTCGCAAACTTCCTTATTGTAAAGGATCTGAGTATGAGGCATCATCAAATCGATAGGCAATTGTTGCTCGGCGTTAAAATCGGGTAATACTCGGACGTTAGAGACATCGGAATTTAAATTAATGTGTACAAGAGGTTTGTTCTCTTTGTTCTCTGGAGAAGATAGTTCGATAGCTTTGTTCACGCTAGCTGCTGGTAACAATGGTGCAATCATGATGCTATCCTGTAAAAAAATGATTAATATTATTTATGTTATAAAAACGAATCGTGGATTTACGCGTATGAGCCCGAAAGTAAACAGCAGTCCACTGTATGGGTGTTTCAACAAAAGTTGTTCGCGCACGAAGCGCTTCCAAGCAAATGGTCGCCTGTTTTTTTGGAAAAATTGGACATGTCGCAACCGTACCAATAGAACAACGCAGAACAGTCAATTATGAGTGGTATACAACCATTTGTTTGCCAGTTGTCTTCCAAGAAATGAGGAAATCCAACCACGACAATGCGAGTTCTCACACATCGGCTCAAACAACTGCATTTTTGAGCACTCAAAACGTCGAGCTGATGAGTCATCCGCCGTATAATCCTGATTTGGCACCGAATGATGTCTTTTTATTCCCATACATAAAACATAAACTGAGAGGTCAACGTTTTTCGACACCTGAAGAAGCGGTTGATGGTTCAGAATGCATGTTTTGGACATATCTCAATCAGAGTGGCAAACGTGCTTCGACAATTGTTTCAAACGCATGCAGAAGTGCATAGATCTTCAAGGAGAATATTTTGAAAAATAATAAAGCGATTTTCGATGATTAATATTTGTTTTTGTTCTCTAATCCCGAAATATAAAAGGCAACTCTCGTATAATAAAGCAAGTCCATTAAAATAAAGTGCAGAAAAGTATAAGTTAAAAAAATGTTTTGTTTGTATAACCCAAAAATCCTTAAGGAGGTCCTTTCGCCACACCTCTCGCCTCAAATGTTAAAAAAAAGTTATTAGATTATGACTAAAATTAATTTTTTTCTAATAGTTGAAGTCCTTATTTATCTAATACTGAACTTTTAACTATACCTTACCTTGCAAATTTTTGAGATTTTTTTTTTAAATGTAAGTATTTGTACAGTGTCTCACGAGAAAGTAAGTCCTCAACAACAATTCTCGAATTATACTATTATTTATTGATTAGATGGAGTAGAAAAAAACTAAAAATAAGGTTTTTGAAATATTTAGATTTTGTTTTATACAATAAAATATATATTGTAAACCGTGGAACTTATTGAGAAATTAATATTAAAAAATCACAAAAAAATTTTAAGGTAGTTCACTCGCGACAGTCGTACACAAAAATATCGACCTATAGTGAATACCAATCGTTCGAGATTCTTAAATCTAAAGAAAGGTTATTTTTGTAACAGACTGTACACACAACACATGTGATTCTATATACAAATATGCTATTATATCGCGTAAAATCCATCCGGCAACGTCGCAAATATATTGTGAAAGGTCAACTGTATTCCTAAAGTGAAATAAATGTAAATATCAAAATGTTTCATTGTCAGGATCAATTGCGAGATAAAGGAAAATTTGTTAAGTAGAACGTCCTTAACAAACGCAAAAAATCAATTTTGGCTATGAATAATGCCAAAAAATTGAGAAAGGAAACCCAAACGTGGAAAATAACCTGTGCAGTGGTCGACGCATCGTGGAATTACAGTAGTTGGGAAAATATTTAAAATGTTGCAGGTGTGAAAGAGTTCTTTCTCTTGAAAATATTACAAATGAAACACGAAAGGGCCTTTATTCAATTTTAAATGTTAAATGTAATAAACTATAGTACCTATGGACAAAGTTCATGCAACAAAAAGTGAAGTTAAGCATTCAGATGTCAACACTAAAGCAGTTCTAGGTAAATTTAAAAAAAATACATAAGTATATGTTATGTTTATAATTTTTTATTATAATTAATATATTTTTATTTATTTAAAGGTGCTGTCCATTCAGGGTTTGGTCAAACTGCTTTAAATAAATTTCTTGCTATCATGAACGTTCCTACGATATCATCAATACTACAGAAAATCATTACTTTTATTTGTATTTTTTATGACTTCCTCATACTAGTAAGTTAAAATTTTAAATTACTTTATATTCATTTTTTTGTGTAACTGTATTTTATTTTGAAGGCATGTTTAAATAAAATTATATTCATCTTTTGCATATTTATTTAATTTTGAAGACATGTTTAAATACAATTAAATTTAAATTGTTAAATTATATCAACCTAAAGTATAAACAACGTCCCTTCCCCAGAAGGCCTCGATAAAGTGATAAACTTGACCTGTCGCGGAAATAAAAAAATTGGGAAGCACTGATCTAATAGACATTTGAATTAGCGGGCGTTGAGTGTATCGATTACAACGTTGCCAAGTTGTAATCACAATACGCCACTATGCGTCGACTGCTTTAAGAACATTTTTATTTTAAAAATCTATATCTCTTTATCAAAGCGGTAAAAAAAATTCAGCGTTTTTTTAGAAAATTTTATAACTTTTTTAGGTACATAAAAGACACTTTCATTAACCACATATTTCAATTTTATTGAATTCTTAAGAAAAGCCGTTTTACGAGTGAACTACCTTAAGTAACCTAGTTGAAAATTTTTTGTAATTTTTTAATAATAATTTCTCAATAAATTCCACGGTAACCTATATATTTTATTGTAAAAAACAAAACCTAAATATTTCAAAAACCTTATTTTTAGTTTTTTTCTACTCCATCTAATCAATAAATAATAGTAAAATTAATTATAATTCGAAAATTGTTGTTGAAGTCTTACTTTCTCATAAGACACTGTACAAACACACACATTTAAAAAAAAAAAAATTTCTTAAAAATTTGCACGGTAAGGTATAGTTAAAAGTTCACTATTAGATAAATAAGGACATCTACTATTAGAAAAAAATTAATTTTAGTCATAATCTAATATTTTTTATTTAACATTGGTGGCGAAAGGACCTCCTTAAGCAATTGAAATGCAATTGAAAAACTATAAAGTTCAAGTAGTTTGTTTTGACGGAGTATCAATTAAAAAAAAACTTAAATATCAGATGAGATAAAAAGAACGACTTATTATTTTACTTAGTGAAAGTTATTTTGTTCCTAGAAATGTACATTTAAACCAAGCAATTCCAGAAGCCGAGAATGAAACATAAGTAACATTAAGAATTTGTTGGTAACAAAATATTATGTAAGTAATTACGAATTTATTTAATAAAATCATTTTTAAGAATGAATTATATCAATTACCTAAGTTATGTAACAAATTGATTCACAAACACGTAATATAATAATACATTATACTCTTATTTAAGTTGATAAGTGACCTATTATTATAATGTGCGAGGTTTATAATGGCCATCTCAACCAAAGTATAACTAGGTGTTTTAAATTAAAGCGTTACAGCTTTATACCGCTTTTTATAAAAAAAAAACGTTTCAGACGAAAGTTTTATAGTTTTGTAAGGAAAAACTTTTGGCTAAAATCGTTTTTTATAGCTAACCATAATATGGCCAACTTTTTTTTTCGCGCAGCAACATTTTCAAGTAGCTGTTACTCAAAAAGTAAACGTCCAATAAAAAAAATATTTCCCTCAAAAGTTTCTTATTTTTTATGTACTTTAAGAATATGTAAGAAAAAAATGGGATTCCCATTTAAAAAAACAAAGTTCACCTCGATATGGCCATATTATGGTCAGCTATAAAAAAATGAATTTAGCCAAAATGTTTCCCCCCAAAAAATTATAAAACTTTTGTCTGAAACTTTTTTCTAAAATGCATATTTTCACTAGTAATACTACTAGAGGTCAAATTATTTCCGGAAATTTTTTCGAGCTCATGAATATTTTGAATTTCTAAAAATATTCATGAGCGAGAAAAAATTTCCTGATATTAATTTGACCTCGCGTGGTATTCGGTAAGAAAATTCCACGCCGAATTATGGTTGAAAATTAAATATTTTTAAAATTTATTTTTCGTTTCTCAACAATGCAAATTATTTTCTCCAAGTCACCAGTGAAACATAGAAGGTGTTGTCGCCTTGATTGTTGAGTTGTCATGGTAACTAAGTGAGACCCTAACCTCGAATATAATTTCAGTTTTGAAGTTGTCAAGCGGCCCGACGTAAAAAAATGTTTCGCTGCAATTATTTAGGCCTTCAAATTGCTTATTTCTACTCATTGTAGTTGCATGGGAATACCATTTGAAAATAGTATATTCTTTAATTTTACGTAAGTTTTGAATAACTACAAGTGGTAGAAAATTGTTTTTCTGCGTTTTTATTAACATGCGTTATGAGCGCTTTAAAATGGTATGAAATTCATAACCAGCGTCAGCAAGCATCAATCGTAGGAGGCTGTGATCATTGTATTTTGACAGTTCAAAACATTAAATAACTCGCGTTTTGTTGCGATAAAGAATATTGCACAGCAAGTAAAACCAATAAAATTACCTATTTGTTTAAAAATGAATCGATTTGAAAATCATACGCTATGCAAAATATGCGCGAAATTGTCTGATGTAATGATCAATCATTGCACCATGACTTACTTACTCGGATTAATAGAGGATTGTGGCTCCAACTTGAAAAACGAAAATTTGTTCCGAATTGTCCACGAATATTTGCACCTAAACTACGCAAAATTCAAAGTGCTGAATGGGAAAAAGGTGAATAAATTAGTGTCTAAATATTATATATATTTTATTAGACATAGACACATAATTCAAAGCATCCAAAGTCCTGCATTTTCGCCATTAAGAAGAAAAGAAGTGGCCGAAGAATATAGAAAACACCTTAGCATTGTAACTAAAATGTATCAAAACTAAACCTATTATGTGAACAAATAAAAACCAGTCTGTCAAAAATGGTCTGTTATTGTAAACGTCAAAAAATTTCCAGTATAATTCGCTGTTGGGTACCCCACGAGAAAAAAAATTCCACTAAAATACCTCCGTTGCCATGGTGATCTGTCAAAAACACGTATTTTGATTGGTTCAAAATTACAGGTGTGGAATTTTCAGCGATATTTAACTGTAACACTTTAATTTGAACACCCGGTATAGATTTTTTTACTACTAACACTGTTATAATACCATATTTGATTTGATTAGATTTTGATAGACCGTTTTAGTTATTTCGTACCTATTTTTCGAATATTTCGAACTCTTGGAG